ATATATATATATATATATATATATATATATATATATTCTTGATAATTAAAATATTAAATAGTTTTCTACTATCGACATTTTAAGAACTTTAAAAAAATAATATTTTATATTTTGTATATTTATAATAATAACTTGAAAAGCGTATATTATTAATTGATTTTCTATATTATATTAAATTATATACCGAGTTATAATTATATACTTAAGTTATATGTAAATTGATATACAAAAATATAATTTTGAAATTATTTTTATAAAGTTAAAGAAATTAGTTTATCATACTCTATATGAAATATTTTACATATAGGAATAATAATCTATTCAAGATTTCAAACTATAATTGAATTTTGAAATTTATTTAAAACATAGTTTTATAAATATGTTTATAGCTCATATATTATGGCGTTATAGTATTATATTTATAGAATTAAAATTTTTACTAAATAATATATATTCGTCTTTATTAATAAAATTTGTTTATTATTATTGATTTATATTTGTTAATTTTTAAACTGAATATAAAATATTCAGTAAATTAATCCAGATGTGAAAAATACAATAATATTTATATATGTATATTATGAATATGTATATTTATAAATATGTATATTTGAATTATAATATATAATGTAGGAAAATATAACTGTTTTTATAATTATTATTATTGAAATTATATAGTTATAAATTTATATTATTCAAAAATAATGAAATAATGAAAATAATAATAAAACAATATTATTTTTAATTTATCAGTTATCAGAATATTTTCAATCCATCAATTATTAAAAAAGACGATATTAATGATAAATATATTGAATTCTTATTGTTTTTATTTATAATTATATATTAATTTATATTATATATTAAATATATATTAATATTTATTATTTTTTGAATTATGATTTTTAAGATTGTTTTTAAAATTTTAATAAATATTGATATTGAAAAAATGTATTATATTAATTAATATGTATATAGTATGGGCTACAGTATAGTACGGTTACAAATTAAACCATTAGAACCATGATTAATATCAAATGCCACATTTAAAATGATGCATTGTGATGCATTTTTTTTTAAATTTAAGATTTTTCGAAATTTAAAATTTTTAACTGATCATAAATTTGTCAAAATACCAATTCTGACATCCGATATTTTATTACTTTACATTTGACTTTATGATTTGATTTTACGATTTCACTATGTGTCATCACTAGAGAAACATGTCATATTCATTATCATTAAATCAATCTTTTTATTGTAATTTTTCAATAAAAGTTCAATACAATTATATGGATTCTCAGAACAAAGAAAATATTTAAGAATAAAATTGGAGAAGTTAAACAATTCATAAGTTTTTTTATTTTTATGTGTATATATAATTTAATATAATAATCTAATATATTTAGGAAAGAAAAGTAATTCTGATAACAAGAAATATTTAAAATTTAAACAAATGTCTAAAATTTAAAAAAATCATGCATTTGTTGGTTTTTGTATATTAATTATTAGCAAAGTGATTAAATGAAGTATTTATTTATATTAGTAGGACTAAAATGCATAAATTCACATTGTAATAAAAGTCATTTGATTGTATCATATTAATTGGTTGCATTGAATTAATAAAATAATTCCAATTATGATTATGATTTTTTTGATAAAAGAGATTATTAATAATTAAAAATTTTATCTTTTTTATTTTTAAATTAATTAATACACAAATTAGAAATGTATTCTTTAAAAATATTGGATTTTCAATTTTTCATTTCTTTTCTATTCTATGTTATGCATTGAAACTATTTTTCATCACATTTTTTAAAATTCTTTACAAAAAAATTAAATTTATTGCTTTTTTCAAAAATATTTTAATCAGGAATCATTGTTATAACCAAAAAGAAAAAATGTCATGAATACAAGTATTTTTTGTTACTATTCGACTAAAATCGTATTAGTTATAAATAAAAATTATAACGATAGATTAAAAGAGAAAATTTTTTCTCTTGTTGGTAAATGTTATTGTTGAGAGAAATTCATTTCGATGACTTATAACAGTTATCAATGAAAAATTTATTTCGATTACTGATTCATAACAGTTATTGATGAAGGAAATTTTTAATAGTACAACTTTCAAATAGTAGACAATTGATTGTTTAGTAAATTTTTTATTCATAAAATTAATTGTTACAATCAAAATTTAATATGATAAACAGTTTTTTCAAATTTTCTTCTAACAAATTACAAATCATCACAAATCATTTAGTATTAATTTTAAAATAGAAAAGACCTCACAATATTAACTGAATTGTGAGCACAATAATTCAAGGTTAAAAATTCCTTCAATTTTTCTAAATAAAAGTCTTTATATTTTAGAAGTTCTTGTAACATGCTAAAAGAATTCCAACGTTGGAATATCTAGTTGCGATTTCTTTAATTATAAGTATTACAATGAGTAGTTAAAAAAATAGTATATAATTTTTAGAAAAGTAATTACGTAAGTAAGATTCAATAATTTTTTTAATTTAAACTTTACCGAAACGTTGATGTTTTCAATATTTTTATAACTTACCATGTCCGTTGAATTAATTTTATTGTCCTAAATAATCTTTAATTGCTAATTGTAAGATATGGATTGCACATTTAATAATTATAATATTTTGATTTTTGCGATAAAAATTTTACGTCGCGTTTTTAACACATCATTTATGATTTGTGTTATCCATGTCAATACTGAGTAATGTTTCTTCTTTTTTTTTCATCTACCAGATTCAAATTAGATAATAACTCCAAAAACTTTCAAAATGTTTCGTCTATTATTCGTGGTTATAATATAAATTTATTTTTTTCTTAATATTAAATTCTTATAAGACACGATTTCGTTCTTCAAATAATCCATTGTGTCTTCTTGTCAACTATTTAATTGACAATATGTACATAAAAATTGTTATTTTTTATTAATTGGATATTTATACGCAATCTATTTTTAAAGAAATTATACATTCTGTAATTGATTTCTTAATTTTATTTTTTATATTTAAATATTTTTCTATAACATAGTTCATTATATTACTTGATATAATTAGGGACATGTGTAGCTCTTTAAATATTTGACTACTTTGAATGCATGTAGATCTAATAATGAAAAAAGTTAATATTCCCGTATTGCGAATTTTATGCAAGCGTTTGTGATTTCTTCACTTGAAAATTTGACCGAAAAAATTTTCGTTTCTTTACAAGATTTTTTCACACTATCTCTTTCCTTTATTTTCTTCCTCATTACATATTATTTATTTTTTGATTATTTTTTAAATTTTTGAATATTTTTTACATATCATGTGTCTCCTAAAATTTATAAGGTATTCCGTTTCAAATAAGAAAAAATGCCAACATACGTTTTTGTTTAATTCGAGATTAAAGTGGAAAAAGTCTTATATTTCTCTTGTGTCCGATTGCAGAAATATATAACAAAAAATATTAATTATTATTCTAACACAATCATTACGATAACAATGACGAAATAATAATAATTACTGAATCAAATAGAAACACAAAATTGGCTGCTGGGTTTTCTGATATGTCTACTATCTATCTAAAATAATACGAGGACAAAATAATAATAATTATATAAATAATTATAAACAATTACGTCTATATACAAATGAAATAGAGGTGTCCGTGAACAAAGATAGTTAATAAACATTTTATGTTGTTCTTAGTCTATTGATTTGTCTTATTGTACAAAACTTTCTCAATGATTTTTACAGATTTGCTCTATTCGAAAAAAAATAGACAACTCAATAATTAAATAAACAACCAAAATGAATTTTCTCATCAATAATTATTATGAGTAAGTAAAAAAAAATTTAATCGATAATGTTATGAATGATCAAAATAAATTTCTCTTATTAATAACTGGTATGAGTGATCGAAATGAATTTCTCTCATCGATAATTGATTTGAACAATCGAAATAGTTTTTTTTATCGATATCAACAATTATCGAGGAGAATCCAAATTTTTTAATATTAATAACTACTATTTGTAAAAAAAGTTTTAAAAAATCGATATTTTTTAATTATTTTATTCTTCGATTTTTTTTCTTTATATTTTGTTGATTATCTTAATTTTCAATTATAATCAACTTTTTAATAATTTTCATTATAAAATAGAAAATTTTAGAATAATAATATTATTTTTGATTCCTGATTTTAATTTCTCGAAATTTAGTTTTTTTTTCAGTTTCTTTTATCTTTTATTGATTTTATAAATTAAATGTACTGTTATTAATTTTTAAAGAAATAAATAATTTGTTTTAATTAAAGTATTATGAACATACAGCTACTAAAAATCATTAAAAAGTTTGATTGCAAGCAAATAAAAGAAAAAACTGATAATGTTTTCAGCTAATTTTGAAATAAACAAAACAAAAAAAAGAAAAAAAAAGAAAAATGAATTAGTTTTAAAAATATAAAATAAAACTGTTTGTTCATATATTTTCAAAAATTTTTTTTTCAGAAATTGCAATCAGAATTCTATTTAATATAAAATTTGAATAAATACAAGAAACAACAATTATTATAAAATTGTTATAAAAATATTTTAAATGAACAACAACAATTTATAAAATATTAAGTAGACAGGGATTCTATTTTGGATTGTAACTTTTATTTTTTAGTTCTTTCTCTTCAATTCTTAAAAAATTATATACTAAATTGTATGTTATTAATTTTTAATAACTTAATAAAATTAAATAATTTTTTTATTAAATTGATATATATATATATATATACATATATATATATTATATAGCTAGCAATAAGTTTAATATTATTAAAATAAACATAATAGTCATTTTTTTGAATATATGCTAGATATTTATTTAACGGTATTTACATCTTCAGTCGCAAAATTCAACTATTTCTGATTTGTTAATATAGAATTTATTAATATAGGCGATTGATAATAAAACAAATTAGAAACATCATTTATCTTATGTTTACAAAAAATCAAAATTTTTATACATTTTCATTGAAACAGAAATGTTTCAATTTTTCATTTTTGAATACTATACTGTAAAGAGATTAATATTTATTCTTTTTAGAATACGAAATATTGTAACATATGGACCACTTAGATGAAATTATATAATTGACATAATTAGATGCTAATGGCATTGATGTAAGTTAGTTGTCTATTATTAAATTTCTATCAAAATTGTAGATAAGAATAGATATTTCTTTTATAAAAAGATTTGAATAGATGAATATTAATTATTTCTTTTTTCCCTAAGAATATTATCTATTATAAAATCTTTACAGCCCTTCACTGTAGGATTTCTATCCAGACCGACAATGATTCTACTGTTTTTGATATAAAAAGGTTTGAGATTGACTCTTGGCTGAAACTGTCGTCACGAATCACTACGATGATTTTCTTCTCCTATATTTTGACTCTGACTCATATTCAGATATCTGAGTTACAGTCGAACTGAATTAAATTGGAGAGGAACAGGCCGGCGCTTTTCGTTTCGCAGTCTTCATAAAGTTGTTGCAGAAAGATTATAGTTCCTATTTCTTTTTTATTAATATGGTTTTGATCATGATTGATAGAAAGGACTTAAATCTAATTCACTTATAAAGTCACTTTGTTTTATTTTTTTTTTTTTGGACACTTTTCAAGAAATATCATATTCTATGAAACATGGCTTCTCTGGGCTTCTATTAATATAAAGAGCCAAAACATCTGTGTCATTCAGAAGAACGTACTATAGCTGCAATCCATTTACTTATACTTAAAATTGGAAAGATTGCGCCAATGTAAACTTTCTCTTCCAACTTGTTGGCGACAGATCTGGCTCACACTTTGGATCATACGCTGGTAAGTTCTGACAGAAATATTTTCCCGGACATATATATATGTAAGTAAACATAATCCATAAACAAAGTATATGGAATAATAATCTATCAGCATCATTATCGTTACATAGGAGATTTTACGATATTTCTGATAATTTGGCTATCAAGTCACTTGCTCATACTAGGATTCTATACATAAAGCTATACTCCGCACAATTTCTATATAGAGGCGGCAAATTTTTTTATTGGATTCACTTAGATTGGACAACTAAGTGAATTTGCTTTTTCCAACTGAGGTAATTTTTTTCAATTAAATCGAAATGGATCTTGAAGATTGGCCAAAAGGAGAATGAAATATCTTATCTTATTTCTGAATGCATCTTTCTTAAACATAATCAAGATGGATGTGAAATATCAAATAAAGCTAAGCTTTGGTCTTATGTGGAATCATTTTCAACAAATAATAAAGGCCATGGAGAATATAAGAAAAGTACTTCTGTAAAGTGAATAATTCTTTTTTTTCCCTATTTTTGGCTGGTCACCAGTGTATCATCAATATGTTACGTTAAGTATGTAGGATGGTTTGCAATATATTATGTTCCATAATAAATCCAACATTGACTCTCTATGAGACATAATATATCAGCTTTTATGTATTTTAAGTGAAGAAATTTTATATATTTTATATATTTTATGTATTTGTCTCAGAAATAATCTTTCACTATTTATTTCATATAGGTAGACACTTAATGTACTTTCCTTATTACTATTCAGAATAAGAAATTAAATGTATTGACAATATTCAATAATGCTACCACTGCAATCTCATCTGGGATACAGTCAAGAAAACTCTAATATATTTGATGGTATCGATCATAAAGCGATTTACTTGTATTGACCCTCAGCCAAGTTGGAATCTTGTTGGAACAATTAAAAGGTAAAAAAAAAATTTCACTCGTTTGAGAAATGTCTCTATCTTGAATAGCAATAAAATAAATTATTAAAAAAATAGTCCACTTGCAGACTTTTTTCTTCCTTAAAAGAATCATTCGTTTTTTTTTTACAGATTCGGGACTCCTTGAATTTAAAATATGCGTCGAATAATTGATGCAACTAAGAAAATCTCAGTACTTTGGTTGGAGCAATACCCAAACACGATCGAATGTCGACGGAACTTCGTTGTTGGCTGTAAAGCGCTTGTGAACTGCAGCTAGCTATTCTTTAGGATTATATTGGCGGACCAAATGATCAATTTTCGAGCAAGCAGTTCTTTATTAGCAGGAGTGGAAGAGTGTAGATTTATCAAAACTTTTTATAGCAGATACTCATGATATTCTCATCTTTATATAAAGATAGAAAAGGATTTTTATCTCCTTCATCATTTTCCATTTTGAGATATATAGTGAATGCTCATTCAGAAATTAATGATGGATTTTTCTGGCATTGCAATATGACAATGAAATATGACAATCAATAGCCAAAGATCTAAACCCACTGCCTAACTCATAAATGGAATTTTTCAGGGGATTGATATAATAATAGATTAAAATAATCAACTTTTTGCTGTTTGTATTGAAATTTTCCAGAACCAATATTGAGAGAAATATCGAAAGATCATATCTTATAGTCTAGATATTCCTGGCACAAAGTTTTAATTTGAAAATACATATATTCTGACTATGACGAAATGTGTCCACTCTATCCATTTTTTTTTTATACTTAAGAAGTAAATATAATATGGTGAGCCACTTTGCTGTATATATGATAACAATCCCCATATATAAATCCCATATAATAAATATTAGCTATAAATTAACTAAGATTTTTAGAAATTCTATACTTTCTGTGATCCAAGTTCTTATGAGATTTTAAACAAAGAAGCACTGCAATCTTCCATTCCCAAAGTCGTACCTATAACATGCGATATTTTTTTCATGTATTATGTATCATTCCAAATTCTAGGCAATGATAGTATTGAAAAAATTGGAATCTTGATTTCCAAGACATCTTTCATATTATCTGCAATTTTCTTGCTATCAAGAAAAGAATAGAGAATAATTCGTTCAAATGGTGTCCAATTAGAAGCAAAGACTAAATCTCAATTTTAATCTTTTCTTTTGGACATTTTTTACGGTAAATTGTTGTGATAACATCCTGCATAGAAATCGAATATCATCAAGATCTAGAAGTAATTTTCCTATTTTGATTGAGTATGCAATCCATTTAATTTTTTCCTAAAAGCGGCCGAATTCAGTCTTAACCGCATCTTTTGATCTTGGAAATTTTCAGAATCAAAGACTCGTAATTTTTTTTTCAGATGAATTCTTTAATATTGATCAAAGTTGATCTTTGAATGAATCAGAAATAGTGTCATATTTGAATATTTCGGCATAAATTGTTTTTCTTTTTAAAGCGATGCACAATAGTTTAATTAGTTAGTTTCAAAAAACGATTTTAAAAATTTTATTTAAAATTCATATTACTTATGATAATTAAATATGTTAGGAACAATGTTCTGTTATTATTTTTAATCATTTATATATTCATGAAGTATTATATTTTATCAAATACATAGAAATTATTATAACATGTTAGAATCTTAAAATTCATTGAAATAATTTTTATGTTTTAAAAAAAATTATGTACATTTTTTTTTATTATGGAATCTTTTTGATAAATATGTTCTATATTTTAAAAGCTCTTTATCTTTATATTATATATTTTTATGATTATTAATATTTAAAAGCGATTAATATATCAATAATATTTTTTATTATTATAACATTTCATGAATAATTTTGTTATATATTAAATTTAAATTACGAATAATTTCGATTTTATTTTATATAAAAGATTTTGTTTGAAAAAACTCCCGCCGAAACTTATGTATATTTTCTTTTTCTTTTTCTTCAAATGATCTGATAATAGATCTCTAATGCCAAAGTATGAAGAATAATATTCTTATTATCATCTTGTTTCATTACTATGAAAAGTAATTACGGGAATAATATCTGTATCTTTAGTTTCTTTATTTTTATCTTTAAAAAGAAATTTCATTTTCTTTGATTTATGATAATAACTTTCCGCTACCAGTCTTGAAAAAATTATTCTTTGTTTAACTTTTATGATTTCTCTTAAATATTAAGTGATCATGTGCAACCTATGCATGTGGATTTCATATATTCTTAATAAAGGCTACAATTTTCATGTATCTGACTCTCTCTAGCATTGTTATCCGGAAATTTTCTATTAATTTTGAAATTTTTTAAGGATTTCTTTTTTGCTAAAAAGAAAGAGATTTGCTAAATCTCAAAAAGATATCTTCCTGACGATCTCTTTTAACTATTTTCTTGTTCCTTCAAGAAATTGTGAGAAAAATAGTTTTAAAGATTTTATTTTTTCTTAGACTAATATACGTATAACACATATTGCATTATCAATAGGCTATTTTCTATTTTGTCATCGTGAAAAATATTGTAGATACCTATAATGTATTTTCTTACCATTGACGGAAATAAAAGCGCATGTCAATGATGTAGATGATTTATGTCTTGTCTTTATCCTAACATTTGAGTTTTTTTAAAAAATCAGAGCGTTTCAATCTTATCATTACAATTATTACACGGAAAACACACATCGTTCTCACGGTGTTGCTATATTAACCAAACTTGATCCTTATTACCTCGTAATTTCTATAGAAAATACTATAGAAAAAATTGCACATTCGATTGCTGTGACGATCAAAGTAAATGTCACAACAAACTAAAAACTAATAATAAAGAATTCAGAATTTCTTTTAGATTTTGATATGTTTGATACGATGTAATTCTTTTAAAACTATTCCAATGATAGAGAAGAATAAAAGATCCAAGAATAAAAAATTCAAATATTTTTCAAAAATTTAAATATTTTTGAAAAAAATATTAAAAATAAAAATGAAAATACATCATTGATTTTTAAAAAGATGCTGAAAATAAAAATTTATTATTATTTTTTGTTTTTAAAATTAGATATGATATTTAGTAGTAATTTGCGATGAGATTCATTTTCCGATCAATATGATTGTAAGTCTTAGAATTTATTATATTATCGGCGCTGCAATTCATATTGAAACTTTTTTAAATCTCTTAGGCGTTTAAAGGTGGTAAGATAATCTTATATATTTTTATATATGATTATTTCAAATGAATTTCAATATAATATAATATATTTTATATTATGTATTATATTATATATAATACATATTATATAATTTCTTATTTAATAAAAACTTATCTCGAATCTATAAATCCATAACTAAATTGTTGTATGATACTTAATCTGCCTATTTACAGAAATCCATAGTAAATCAAAACATAAGATTTCAGATTAGAAAGATTCACACATAAACTTGCTCACATGTATAAGAAAATCACTGATGATATTTGAATCAATTTTATAAATCAATTGAAGCATTAGTTGAAAAATCTTTGTTTTTTTTCATTTGAATTCAATGTTTGTTATTCAAATATGAAATTAAACAGAAAAAAATAATAATCGAAATTCAATATCTATATTTTAAATATACTAATGTCATATTTTATATTCACTAAAAAAATTATGAATATTGTACTTTTCTTTTTCATACTATTATTCTATATTAAAAATTTTTTTATTCACTATTTACATTAATTTTTTTGAATAAAATTATTTCGATTATTATTTATTATTGTACAACTTAATTTTATATGAAAATCATTTATATAAAATATTATTTATTTTAAACAAATATTCAAATTTATATTATTTCATCAAATTCTTAATTGAACTTGACTTCATGGGACAATGTGTTACTGAAATAGTTAATAATTGAATATAATTGTAGATGTTAGAAAAAGAGATTTGATAGAAAGAAAAATAAGATGATAATATTCTAAGTTGAATGTTTATTTGTGTATATTAAATTTAAAAATACGAAACTCAACAACTTTTCTGTTGTTAAGATAGTGTTTCTTTATTTTGATTTCGGTTCATTCGTAATGTTTGTATATATCAGAAATATAAAAATATAAAAAAGAAATTAATGAATTTGTAATATTCATTCGAACATATATAAAAAAAAAACAATTGCAATATATATTTTTTTATGAATATGTCATATTAATGTATAATATTGATTCACATTATTAATATGTGATATTTAGATTAACTATTATTTCTCTCTATATAAGAATCAAAGATATTGAGTATAAATAATATAAAGATAAAGATCAATAATTTGATTGTTCAATAATCTGAAATTCAAAGTATTATTTGTAGTTTGGACTTTATATATATGTGAAAATAAAAAAAAATTGTTTATAAAATACTTTCTAATTCGAAATCTTATAAAAATGTGTTTTACTTTTATGGATTTTGATAAGTACGGCAAGTTAAATGAAATATAATTCATATATGATTTTATTAAATGAAATATTATGTATTCATCGTATAAATATAAAATTTGCTATAATTTATCCGAGATAAATTTTTGTTAAATAATAAATTACATAGATTTCAATTTGCATAATTAAAATTTTTTTAAACGATATAAAAACATTACATAATATTTATGTACATTGTATATTAGAGTACACTGAAATAATCATTTGTGTAGAAAAATATCAATATATTTACTTTTATTGGCTCTGCTATGTAAGCGATATTATAATATGTAAGCGATAGTGCCGTGCATTCAGAATTCTCGCTCTTTCATCGTCTCATTCTACGTAATACAAACTTGAAATGCTTATAATTCGTTAATTAAACCTTATCATGTATATGAACTTTTTTATCGTTTTAATAGCACCATCCTCCAAAAATGTCTCATATTTTTATGAATATCTTGTATAAATATATATATTCTTGTGCTCTCAAAAAGAATTCTAAAAAAGAAAATTATTATTAAGATTCAGAAATGTTGATTGAGTAATCTTAACAAGAAACTTTATATTTTATTCTAAACTTTTTTTTATAAGTGTAAATATAATTTGCGGCTTTCTATTTCAGAAAATTATTTAGATTATTTTGCTTTCAGTAGTCGTTTTTAATCCCTTGTTTGATGTGAGGAAATAAAAAATTTTCAAAAGGAATTCTGCAT